CCACCCACCCATCTATTTATCCATCCGCTCTTCTTTATTTCCTTCTATTTGTTCATCCTCCCTCCCATCCTCCCTTCCTTCCTTCTTCCTGTCCTTCCTTCTGTCCATCTGCCCATCCCTACGTCCTCCCTCGTTCGGCCCTCTGGCCGTGCAGACTGCCAGGTGGGGTGACCAGGGAAGGAGAGCCCAAACCGTTGTTCCTTGGAAGTCGCCCCCTCACAGCCTCCACCTCCCCGCCCCCGTCCACCCCGTCCTGCCCGCTCCTAGGCGGCTGTGACTGTCCATCTGGGAGAGGCTCTGACGAGGCACAGGTGGCTCTCCCCAGCGAGGGCTAAGTCAGTGGTCACGACCAGCTCCAGGGGACGGTCACTCTTCTCCTGACCTCAAGACCTTTCCTGGTGGCCTCTACCTTTCCTTCAGCCCAAGCGAACCTCTCCTTCCCGCCACTTTGTCTCATGGCCACTCCTGGCCAGCCCGGCCTGGGCCCGACTCAGTCCTGGGAAACCTTCAGACTGCGTTCCTGTGTCCTCCTACCTTCCCTCCAGCATTCCACTGAGAGCCCAGTCCAGCCAGGACCGGGGCCGTGAGGAGCTGCTATGGAGGACTCCGTTTGGTTCATCCGTGTCCCTTATGCGAACGTAGCCTGGAGCCGGGGCAGAGCCAGTCTCCCCTCAAGGAGCCGAAGGCCTCTGTTGGTCACAGGGACCACCTAACCTCCTGAGCCCTTTTCCCCTTGGCTGCTAGGAGACTCAGAACTGACCCAGGGCTGCTCCTCCCTACCCGTCGTAGCCTAGGTCCCTTCTCGAATAACCAGGCTTTCCCGGTGTCGTTACCTCCTGCTCCGAGGTGCCTTGACTTTGGCTGCCTCCCTGGAAGTCGGTGGGATTGCGCTTTGCTCAGACTGAGCTGCGGGGTGACTGTTTTGCTGGGTCTCGGATGGACAGCGTCCCCTCTCTCCTCGCCTCCCTCCCTCACCTCTCACAGACGAGCACCAGGGCCCGCGGGTCCCGCCCGTGTCATACAGGGACTGCCCTTGTCAGCACTGACCTCGCTCCAGGCCCCTAGGAGACTGACCTCTTCCCCAGACCCGTCACCTCGCCACGGCCGTGTGGACTGATTCGAGAGCCCGATAAATCTTAGCTGAACGGCCAGGTCTAGGATTTAAAATCCTTCTGAAGTTGACTGGTGTTCACTCTTGCTTTTTTTAAAATAAAAGTATCAAATTATCAAGACCCACACAAACCATCTTTGTATTAGATCAGGGATATGTCAGTTAGGGTTCACGTCTAGTCCCTCTCTGGGCTGGGGTGCAGAGGGGTGCAGAGGCCGCTGACGAAAAAAACCCACCGTGCTAGTTTCGGGGGCCATAGCGTTGCCTCAGTCCGGCCCCAGGAGCGTACCCCACGGAAGTGTTTGAGTTAACGGAGGTGGGCGGCGAGGGGTGTCTGCCCCTCTGTGAGCCTTGGGAGACGGCACCTCAGCCTCCATGCAAGTCCTCACGTGTCTTGGGGGTGACCGCTGTGATCTGAGAGCCGAGGGAGAGCCGCGGGGAGGCTCTGGGGGGGTCACCGGGAAGAAGGGGCCAGAATGCACATTCCAGGTGTCAAGGTCACACACGCCAGAGTCCCAAACGCGTCCGGAGTGCAGGCGGCAGCAGAGGAGGCCGGAGCGAGGGTTCTCGCTGGGCGCTCTGCCTGCCTCTGTCCCTGTCCCTTCCCCTTCTCCGAGGTGCCAGAGGGTTCAGTGTCCTCGATACCCTGGTGCGGCCTGCGGTCCTTCCCAGCCCCGCATCTCAGCTTCCTCATCTGCAAAGCGGGTCTGGGACGTTCTGAACTTTGAGCCAGCAGGACTCGCCGAGGGCGGGATGTAGGGTGTGAGTGAGGGACGGGGCTGACGTGACAGAGGCCCCAGCAGCCGGAGCTGAGGGCGTCTCCTGGGCTGGGGGCCCGGGGCGGATCCAGGGTGAGCCCCGTCGCCCCGGAAGCCGTTGCTCCTGGTCTCTAACGGAGGCGGGTGCACGTCACACACGTCAGCCGCTTTAACGGGTGCCCTTCGTGGCTTCGGTGCCTTCACGGTGCTTGTGGCCGTCTCTCCCTCTGGTTCCAAACTCCAGGCCCCCAGGGCTCCCCAGTATGCAGGACGGCCCGCGGGGACGCTCGTGGTGTAGGCGGCTTTCCACTGACGCTGGTAGGAGTCCCCCACCAGCGGAGTCTGGAGAGCTGCGCCCCCACTCCCCCCTCCGCCCTGCCCCTGCCTGCTGGCTCAGGTGGGAGGGGCTCCCTACCGAGGACTGTGACTTGTCCCCCGGCTGCACGCCTGCCTGCGGGGGGCACTGCTCACACAAGCTCGGGGAGCACAGGGTCTTCCTCATTCGAGGCATGACTTTGGGGGATGAGCGGAGCTGACCAGCGGCCCGTACCCAGGCCAGGAGCAGGGCAGAGGGCCGAGGCCTCCCGCTTACTCTGAGGACCTCGCCTGGCCTCGTGGATGCAAATGCCACCTAGAGAGCGAGTCCCCCAGAGTGACCTCTCCGGCTGGGCCTCTCGCCAAGCTCTAGACCGGACGTACAACTAACTGCTCATCAGACACCCCTGCTCCCCAAGCGCCGTGTCATTCCGGTCCCCACCCCCGGTAACGTCAGCTCCAACCCTGCAGATTCCCCACCTGCTCTCACCCAGCAGCAGGGCCTCTGCTGGCCTCGGGGTCTGTCCCTCCCGCACCAGCCCTGTCACCGCCTCGGGCTCCACCACCCAGTCCTGCCACCAGGGCTGCTGCCTCCTCTCGGCCCCTCCTGGCGCAGACCCGTGCCCGCCTGAGCACGCCTTTCAGAATTTAAGGCTGAACTCATCATCACATCTCTGCTCCAAACCGGCCGGCCCCACCTCCCCGGGGAGAAACACCGAAGGCTTCCGGCCCGCAGACCCACGGGCCAGGCCTCCTGCCCTCCGCCGCCTCCATGGGGTGCCGGTCATCAGCCTTCCTGGGCAAAGTGTCTGTTTCAATATTTTGCCCATTTAAAAAATTTAGTTTCTCATGTTTGTATGATTAAGTTTTGAGAGTTCTCTGTACATCTGGATGGGAGTGTATCAGACAAACAAATGCAAATATTTATCCGACGAATGAACGCAGATACTTTCTCCCGAGGCTCGTCTTCTCTTTCTCTCAACTGTCTTTAAGGAACAGAAGTTTGGTAAATTCGATCAAGTCTACTCGTTTTTTTTTGTTTGTTTTTTGTTTTTAATGGATCGTGCTCTTGGCTCTCGGTGGTGTGTCTAAGAAATCTTTGCTACCTGAAGGTCAGAAGGATCTTCTCCTACGTTTGCTGAGGTTTTACATACAGGACTAGGATGCATTTTGAATTCATTTTTTAAAGTAGTGCGAAGTATGGATTCAAGTTCTTTTTCGTTTTTTCTTTCCCACCTTTGGCCCTGCAGTTGTCCCCAGCACCATCTCTTGAAAAGACCGTGTTTTTCAGCGCCGAATTGCCTTTGCAGTGTCGTCGAGAATAAAATCAGCACGCTTTGTTCCTCTTGTCCGTCCGTCCGCCTCTGTGTCCACACTGTGCCGACGACCGTCGCTGGAGGGCAAGTCGTGTGTCAGGCGCCGGCAGCCTTCCAATTTTGTGCTTCCTCTTCGAAGCCGTTTTGGTTCTAGATCCTTTGCATTTCCACACGAATTTTAGGATCAGCTTGTTCATTCCCACCCCAAAACCCCTGCGGGTATTTTCGTGGAGGTCGTGTTGAATCTCGAGTCCGTGTGGGGGAAATCGTCACTTTGATGACACTGAGTCCTCTGACCCGCGAACGGGGGGCGTCTCCCCATCACTTACGCCTTCCTGAGTTTCTCTCGGTGGCATTGTCTAGTCCTCGATGGTCTAGAAAGGTCTCACACGTCTTTCATCAGATTTATTCCCAAGTAGTTCATCATTTCGATGCTATAATAAATGGTGTATTTAAATTTTTTCCGTTTCTGATTGTTGCTAGAACACACAAATAAAATCGATTTTGTATATTGATCATAAAAGATTTCGCAACCTCGATAACTCGATAGCTCCAGTATATTTCCGTGGATTCCATTCACGTTTCTCCACAGACTATGCCGTCTGGGAATAAAGACAGTTTTGCTTCTTCCCGTCCAGTCTGAACGCCTCGTTTTCATCGCGTGGCTAGACCTTCCCACTGCTCACTGAGACATGGTGACGTCCTTGCCCCGTCCCTGGTCTTGGGGAGACACCGCCAGTGCTTCACCATTAAGTACGACGTTCATAAAGGCTTTGCACGGATGCCCTTCATCAGGTTGAAAGGTTCCCTTTGACTTCTCGTTTTTGTCAGGAAGAGATGCTGAATCTTGCCAGATGCTTTTCCAGCATTTGGGGGGATGATGGATTTCCTTTCTGGTCCGGCCTTGGTTGCCTTCTGCGTGTTAAGCCGCCCTCGCCTTCCTGGGATGAACCTCGCTCACACACGATTTCGTCTCTGTTCTGTTTGTCATTGAATTTGATCCACCGAAGACGTTTAAAGATTTTCTGCAACTACCTGCACCAGGGGTGCCGGTCTCGTTTGCTTGGCTGGTTTTGGCGTCGGGAGTTTAGGAAAAGCCCTCCTCCTGCGTCTGCTCAGCTAGGACACCCCTCGGCTTCCTGCACTTCCGGTCACCAAATGCGTGGGGTTTCCCCACACCACGCTGGTGCCCGACGACTAAACTCCATCCCGACACCGTCTACTGTGCCCCTCCACGTGACCCGCCCTCCCTGAGTCACGACCAGGAAGCTCTCAGAACCCAACTAGGCTTTTTACGGAGGCCTCATTACATAGGCACGCTCGGTTGCATCATGAGCCTGGGCGATTAGTTCAAACTCCAGCCCCTCCCCTCCCCAGAAGTCGGGGGCGGGGCTGCATCCCGGGTCGGTTCCCCTGGCAACCAGCCCCATCCTTCGGGGCTTCCTAAAAGTCACCTCGTTAACATAAACCCAGCTGTGGGTCAAAGGGGCTTCTTCAGAGGAACGGGGACCCGTTTCTCCTTTGCAGTTCTGGAGCTATTTCAGGAACTGGGAGCAAAAGATGCCCCGATGGCTCCTGTGGTCACGAAGGTTCTAGGAGCTCCGTGCCGGGGACCGTGGACAAAGACCGACTTGGATGCTCCTTATTACGAATCACAGCGTCACAGCGGTGTTGCCTCTTTTCAGGTCCCTGGAGGAGTTTGTGATATTATTTTCCCCTAAATATTTGGCGGAATGTGCCTGTGAGCCCATCTGGACCTGACTTTTCTTCACGGGAAGATTTTAAACTACAATTTCAATTTCTTTAATAGATCCAGGGCTAGTCAGGTTTATCTATTTCTTCTCGCGTGAGATTTGGTAGCATGGAAATTTCCAGGGATTCGCCCGTTTGATCTACGTTGTCGAATCCGTTGGCATCGAGTCATCATCATGGTCTCGTATTGTCCTCTTAATGCCTGTAGGCTCTGTAGTAATGTCACCTTTCTCATTCCCGGTATTGATCACTGTGTCTCCCTTTGTTTTCTGATCATTTTGGCTAAAAGCATATCAATTTTATCGATCTCAAAGAATCAGCTTTCCGTTTCCATTCATCGTCTCTGTTGCGTCTGTTTCCTGTTTCGCTGATTTCCGCCCTTTCTTATTTCCCTCCTTCTGCTTATTTCGGGTGCCGCGCACTCTTCCTTTTCCAGCTGTTAAGGCAAAAGCTGAGGTCACTACTCGAGGCTGCTTTTCTGACGTCGGCACTGAGTACCATGGTTCCCCAAAAGTGTCGCTTTACCTACGTCCACAGATTGTAACACGTTGTATTTTCGTTTTCACTGAGTTTAAAATACTTTCTAATTTCTCTTTTGAGATCTTCTTCGAAGGTGGGTTATTTAGCGTGTTATTTAGTTTCTAAACGATTGGGAATCTCGTGGATCCCTTCCTACCTCTGATTTCGCTCCGCAGAAAGCGTACCTTCACGATAGGAAATTTTAAAAGGTACAGAGAGTTGTTTTATGGTTCCGAAGATGTAAATGTCGTTTCTGGGTCTAGGACACCAGCTAAGTCACAAGCTAGAACAGCTGGGCGGGGGAGAGAGGTGTGCCCTTGGAGGGGTGTGTGTATAACGCTGCAGCCAAGGTCCTGGCACACCGGTAGTGCTCGTGGGACAATGTGGACCAATATTGTTATTTATGGGGAGGCAGGGGGAGGTGACGTGTTCAGATCTAGCAAAGCCCGTTCAAGGAACCTGCAGGATGGAGGCTGGAGAGGAGAGCCCGCTGGCCACTGGGGTTGGATATGGAGCTCAGAGGGGTGACAGATGTTGGAGCTGGTGTGGTCGATGGTGTCTGAGGATGAGGGCGGCGTGCAGCCACCAGATGGGGCCAGGACCTCTCCCAGCCTTGAGAGTGGCCGAGAGGGGAGAGGTGGTTCTGGGCTTCTGAGCACATGAGGCGGGCTGGCCCCCACAGGACGGGTCCTGCTGCTTTCTGCTCCTGTGGGTGGGTTTCTGCCCCACCAGCCCCTCGCGCTGGTCCTGACCGAGTTCTCTTGTCTGATTGCAGATTGGAAGAAGCGCTTCATCGGCATACGGATGAGGACCATCACGCCCAGGTGTGTCTGAAGAATGGGGCCCTCCCCCGCGTTAGTGGTTGTCCGTCCCCTCCCCTCGGCCCCGCCTAGTCACCTGCAGGTGCTTCGCGGGCCGCACGCATTCAGGCTTCTGAGCCTTCGCTCGGGCCAGCCTCTCTGCCTAGAATGCCGACGCCTTCGGCCCCCTTGGGACCTCATCGAGGTGCCGCTTCCTCCAGGAAGCCTCCTAGATTCGTTTCCTGTGGCTGCCATAGTGAATTAGTATGCACTTGGCTTAAAACAACAGAAATTCATTCTCTCGCAGTCTGAAAGCTGAGCTGCGCTGCCGCCGAAGGCTCTGGGGGAATCCTGAGCCTCGCCCAGCTTCAGGTGGCTCCGGGTGCCCCTTAGGGTGCACCTGCATCGCTCCAACCTCTGCGTCTGCCTTCCACGGCCTCCTTCTTTCTGCGCGTCTGTGTCCAACCCTCCACCTTCTTTTTCTAATACAAACGTCAGTCACTGGATTTGGGGGCCCCCCTAAGTCATCTAGAGACCCTTAACCAACTGCATGTGCAAAGACCCTATTGCCAAATGAAGTCACATTCTGAGGTTCTGGGTGGACGTGAATTTTAGGGGGACACTGTTCTACCTCTGCGGGCTGCCCAGGTGGGAGGAGGCACCCCCTCTTAGCAGCCGTAACTGCGCTTCCGTCCCCAGCACTGCGTGGGCCCCACATCCCACCTTGACTGTGAGCCCCGTGTCCTGCTCATCCCTCTGTTCCGCCCCAGTGTGAGGTCTGCAACGGAGCGCGTGCCCGGAAGGCAGTGGGGCAGAGGAGGGAAGGAGTCGGGGAGAAGGGAAATGCGAAGGGTTCGAAGAAGAAAGAGGTGGCCGTGTCGGGAGCTCTGGGAAGAGCTAAGTCCTGCTCGACCAACTGCGCCTCAAAGCGATGCAGCGACTGTTAACTTAGGGATTCAATCTGAGAGCAACTTGTCACCAGACGAGCATGCCAGTTCATCTTTCATGTGCTCTCTTTCTCTCTTTCATCCATCCATCCATCCATCCATCCATCCATCCATCCACCCACCCACTTATCCATCCGTCCGTGCATCCATCCATCCATCCATCCATCCATCCATCCATCCATCCATCCATCCATCCATCACACCATTTATCCAGTCTTCTGTCTGTCCGTTCCATTCATCCCTTCTTCCATCTATCCATTCATCCATTATTCGTTCCTCCCTTCCATTCATCTATCCCTCCGTCTTTTATCCATCCATCCATCACACCACCCGTCCAGTCCTCTATCCATTCCGCCATTCACCCACTGCTCATCCCTCCTTCCATCTATCCATTTATCTATCATCCCTTCCTTCCGTCCACCTATCCATCCATCCATCCATCCATCCACCCATCCATCCATCCATCCATCCATCCATCCATCCATTATCCATCCATCCATCCAGCCATCCATCCATCCATCCATCCATCCATCTATCCATCCTTCTACCTTCTTTCCTTTCCCTCACCCCTCCTCCCACCTGTCCCCCACCCTCCCCTCTCCACGCTGCTAACGGTCCACCTTCACCAAGGTTTCTCTTGAGGAGCCCACGTTGAGTTGGGGACACAGACAAGAATGAGTGACAACTCCGAAGGGTCGGTGGCCGGACAAGGCAGTGTGGGAGCCCAGAGGAGCCTCCCTCCCTGTGTGGCCGGGGCAGGGAGGCGAGGAGGCCCAGGAGAAGCCTTGACAGGGGACTGTCTTTTCAGCTTGATGGAGGAGCTAAAGGCCAGCAGCCCAGACGTCCCGGAGGTCAGCAAGGGGATTTACGTGCAAGAGGTTGTTCCCAATTCACCTTCTCAGAGGTAGGTCCCCAGCACCCCCAGAAGAGGCAGGGAGGCTGGGGGCGGTGGTCAGGCATCCTGGGGAGCATCGGGCCTGGGCTGGGCCCACTCCACTCCTTTGAGCTTCCTGGTAAGACGTGACGTGGAAGTGGCCGCTGGGAACCCGGCCTGCCCTGTAAGCCAGGGGTAGGCTGGAGGGATGAAGTATCTCTTAGAGCATCGGCCATGCCCTTCCACGGCCTAAATGTCCCTTGACTGTCCCCTGTCCTCGGGGAAGACAGAGCAGTGGAGGCCCTGAGCTGAGAAGCATCCGGACTCCCATGAGCCCAGTGGGCCGGCCTGGGTCTCCCTGTTTCCTCGTGGCAAAGCGGACGAGATCGGCCTCCTCTTTCTACCCCGGGAGGCTTGGCCGCGATCCGAGACCGGGGCAGTGCTGACGGCCGCGGCGCCGTGAGCCGAGACAGACACGCTGCGAGGTTGCCACAGGCTCGCCCGGGCCAGCCGGCCCCTCCACGGGCTCTGAGCAAGCCCCTCCCCCACCCGGCCCCCCCACCGGCGCTGGGCAAGCCCCTCCCCGCGGACGCCCAGGTCTCCGGTGGCACCGGCCGCGGGCTGCAGCAGATCAGCGGTTCTAAACTGCCACGCTGAGCGCCGGCGGCGGCCCACACTGCGGTCTGGGCTGCCGTGAGGGGCGAGGGCCGGGCAGGCGGGCCTCCCACCCCACGACCCCTTCCTTCTGTTTTATGCACTGTGCTGCTTCTGGAGGCCGTGCTGGAAGACACGGGCCCCTCGCGTCCTTCCGTGATGCACGCATGTGGCACCCGTGCCCGGTCCGCAGCACGCCTGCAGTGAAGTTGTCGAAAGATAGGGTTGTCATCCAACCGGGCTCTGTCCCCGGGTTGCTGTGCTCGGCGGCATTCAGCAGGGCAGCCACCGAGAGTGGCCACACGCCAGGCCCCCCAGGAGCAGTTTGGGTGAGATCGGGTGATGGTGACTGCCGATGACCGAGGCTGCATCGTCTCCGTCACTTCTCGCTGCAGCCTGTGGGGTCCCGGCTACCGCCCTCACCCCGTTTCACAGATGGGAACACCGAGGCTTACAGGGGTCACCCCTCCAAGGTCACACGTGCAGGCCGGTGCCACCACCCAGGCAGACACACAACCACTGTGCCACCCTGCCTGTCCTTCTGGGTGGCAGGGAAGGTCACGACACGCCCAGCGAGCTCTGCCTGCTGTGCCAGAGTCTCAGTACCTGCGGTGGCCCTGGGACCAACCTCTGGACCTCACCGTCATTTGCAAAGCACACAGGTCTGCAGAGACTGAGGCACGAAGGGGCAGAGTACCCGGCCCGGGCGGCCTGCTCGGTAGGCTGCAGCGGAGCGTGAACCCAGCCGGCCCGCTGGGCGGGAGAGGTGGCCGTCTTCGGCCCTCCCTCCTCCCTCCTCCCTCCTCCATCTGGAGCCAGAGCCTGGTGGGCGAGCTGCCGGTCCTGCTTGTCCAGATGAATCTTCTTAAACTGCTGCTGTTAAACCCGATTGTTCCCCCACCGGGCCCAGGCCTCGTGAGCGTGTGCGCTGACCGCGTCTCTCCCGTTGGCAGAGGGGGCATCCAAGATGGCGACATCATCGTCAAGGTCAACGGGCGCCCGCTGGCGGACTCGAGCGAGCTGCAGGAGGCCGTGCTGACCGAGTCTCCCCTGCTGCTGGAGGTGCGTCGGGGGAACGACGACCTCCTCTTCAGCATCGCGCCCGAGGTGGTCCTGTGAGGCCGCCGCCTGCCCCGTTGCCAAGCGCCAGAGCCCGCGGCCAAGGACCGCTGCCAGCCCGGCGGTTCCCGCGGGAGCCGCTGTCCCCCGCGGGGTCAGGACGAGGGACCAAGGTCGGTCCTCAGCAGAGCCAGCGGCCTCCTCCGGCCGTCTAGGGACAGAGCCGTGTCTGGGCTTGGCCGGGGGTCCACATCTCAGCCTCGGGAGCGTCGGCTTCTGCATCATGGCGCCCATGGGAGCAGCTCACGGTCCCCTTCTACAGCTGTCCCTAGGGCCACCTTCCAAGTCCTCGGGGTGATGTAAAGTGATTCCGACACTTGAGAAGACTCCTCTGAGGTCCCCGCAGCCACCCTCTCTCCCGCCCTCCCGATGCCTCTGTCTGCGTGCCCCACCCCGCTCCCACCCACCCTCACCCCAGGTCTCAGCTCCCCAGCCTCCCTGGCCCCCTATGCGGAATGACCAAGGCTGTCTGCCCTGCCAGCCTGGTGTCCCTGGAGAGCAGGCCACGTCTGACCCCTTGAGGAGTCAGGTGTAGGAGCAGGCACCGAGGGATGTCCCCTGGCTGCCCAGCGGAGCCCCACAGCTGGCGGCGAGGTTCCCCTCCCCAGGCGGGAGAGAAGCCGGCAGGGAGCGGTGTGGTCAGCGCCCTCGGAAGGCTGCTTGTCCTCCTGCAGGTGACTGTGGGAGGGTGGCAGAGGAAGCTGGGAGCTGCCCGGAGGAGGGGCTGCAAGGACTGAGCCGCTTGGCCCCCCGTGCCGTGTGCACGGGGCGACCGTGTCACACCACCCTGGAGCTACGGGAAAGCCCCCTGCTCCCAGTGGGGCCCGCGCCTTTTGGGGTGTATCTTTGAGCTTCGCTGTACAGCCGCCCCCCACGTTGCTTGTACTGTGTCTCTACCGTATGGGATTAAAGTTGGCAAGCACATGGGCCTCAGCCAGCAGGGGCACTTGGGGCACCCACGCCCACGGGCCACGGCGTCTCCTGGGACCCAGAGCGAAACCGACACCAGTGGGCGGGGCTGTCACTCAGCCACTCACTCCGGACTTTGTGGTCTCGGGCAAGACACCTCCTCTGTCTCCCCTTGTACCGGGGAGACACCGAGGCCTCCGACCCCTTGGCCAGCAGGCAGAACGCTTGGAAAGGGGCCCGGCCGGCAGAGGCCCCGCCATGCCGTATGTGCCCGGCGGGTGACGAAGCTTTCCCTGCGTTTGCCCTGTGTCACTCTCACCACAACCCGCCCGGTGACGGGGACATTAGGTGTGAAATGACAGCTGTGGGGTGGGGCCCGGGGCTGCCAGCGGGGCACCGAGTGTGTGAGCTCGGCGGGGAGGGAGCCCCCGAGATAGCAAGTGGGGGTGTCCAGGCCAGGAGACTGGAGGCCAGGCCTGGTCTGACCACTGCGTCCAGCAGGATGGAGGCCCCCGGTCCAGTTCCCGCAGAGGGGCCGAGCCTGCCCGCCGCTGGGCTCTGGGCGGCTGTGGGACCACAGCCCACCTTCTCCCTGGGCGGGGGTGGGGGGGGGAGCAGGGCGAACTGCGGGACTTCAAGCTCTGACAGCTGGGATCCAACAGGTCCGGGTTTGAGGTTCCCACCCTGGGGGGCCTCCCAGGAGGTGGCCTCAGCCACGGAGGCCGTGAGAATCTCGCTCGGCACCTCCGAGGGACTCACAGGCGAGCGCTGGAGACAGGCACACAGGTGCCTGCGGCGCTGGGTGTGGCGAGCTGTGCGCACTGTAGCCAGATGGGGGATGGGGCCAGGGGCACCCGCACCCACGCCCGGGAGAGGGCCAGAAGGTGTCGCGAGCAGCTTTCTGATGCAGGCGCCGTGAGCTGGTTCACCGCCCACGTTTGCGATCCTCGGCCTGGATGGTCTGTGAACTGAGCGCAACTCACCACACCCAGCCACACGGGGCCGTGCTGGGGGGAGGGACCGGGCACACAGGGGGCCCTGTAAGGCAGCCTTCCCCGGGGGCCACCATGCCCGCCGCCCCGCGGCCTGCCTGCCCCAGCCCCCACTGCCAGTGTCCTCTGGGAAAGGCAGAGCCCGGCCGGGAGCTGGTGCAGCCCCGCAGTGAGGCCGCCCACTTCCCAACCCCCACCCCTCCGCTCCTGCCCAGCGTGGGTCACACCCAACAGGGCCTGTGCCACCGCGACGCCCCCACTTTGCCCCTGCTCACTTCTCACCCAGAACAGCCCTAATGCCCGAAGCCCGTCCACCATCCCAGGCCTCTGCCGTCCACACGTGCGGGTCCGCAGAGCACCATCCTTGCTCCTCCGTCTCTGGCCACCCCGATCGGTGCCCAAAGGCCACATGGCCCCACCTACAAGGAGGGAGCCCCAGGGTGACAAGGGGAGACATCCCGAATGAGGCCACTGGCCCGGGCCTGGGCCAGGAGGAGGGGGCCCTGGGAGCTGGGCGCGGAGAGTCGGTCAAGCCATGAACTGGCCCAGGGCCAGGCCTCCGAGAGGGACCTGGAGCCAAGATCAAGGTGCCCATCCGGCTCCCAGCCTAAGTGCTCTCAGCGCCGGGCAGGGAGGGGCAGCGAGCCCTCAGTGGCTCCTGCAGAGGCAGCTACCTGGCCACAAAGATCCCACCCTCATCCCGCCCGCTCGCCTCCCGAAGACTCCAGCTCCGCATCCATCACACTGGGGGGCAGGGCTTCGGCATATGGAGTCGGGTGCAGGGGACACGATCCAGTCCATAGCATGGTGACTGAGACGGGGAGGGAAGGTAAGCCAACTGCGGGATGTGGGAATGAGCTGGTGGCCTCTGGGACAACTGGGGGCGAAGCCCGCTGCAGATGCTCTGAGGAGCGCTGCCACACGAGCTCAGTAGCGCCTTGTGAGGCACAGGAAGCTGGGATGTTCGTGCACAGCCCCCGCTCTCGCAGGCTGGGGCTGCCCTGCGCGAGGCTGCGCTAGTGTCCCCAAGGCTGGCGGGAACTGTCAGGCCGAGGGGCAGAGAGACGCAGGCAGCAGAGGCGGCTCAGAACGGGCCCTCGCAGCTGCAGGTGACCTCGGGCACGGTGGGGACGTGGGCGGGGCAGCAGCAGCCGGCTGCTGGGACCCAGATGGCAGAGGTACGCGGAAGCCCCAGTGCCCACCAGCAAGGGCCAGCTCGTTTCACGCACCCTCTTCGCCCTGAGGCCTGGTGGAGTGGGGGAGTGGGCCGATGCAGGACCGCGGGGAGGGGTCAGCCTGAGACCCAGCTCCTCGCTAAAGCCCCACCAGAGAAGGTGCCTGCTTTGCTTCAGGAAGCACCGAATTAACGTCACACAGGAGGTCCCAGACTCCGCATCCGGCCCTAAAGTGCCCCCAAAACATCACACCCTCTGACTCCCTGCCACCAGCCCCCGAGGGGCCTACCCACCCCCTCTGGCTTCGGGTTGTCTGTGTGTGAAACAGGGCGGTGGGATGTGGGGGTCCCCACGCCTGGGAGTCAGCGGGCCTGGGCAGTGGTCTCTACCTGCCCCTCCCTGGCCGAGCTCTGCTGGGGCCTCAGCTCTGCCCTTCAGCGTCCAGGGAGGTCAGAGCCCCAGGAGGAGGGTCCCCTCACCCAGTGTGGAGGGCAGCCACTCACCCGCCCCGCTGGCCCTGCCCTCTTGGAAATGGGCTCTGTGCGCTCAAGGCCTCTGTCCCCGCGGCCGCCCGGCCCTGACCGTCCCCCGACCGGGCGGGGCTGGCCTCCCAGCTGCCCCTCCAGCTGCGCTCAGTGAAAAACAACTTTTTCAGAGCCCGCCAGCTGCCACCATTGTGCAATCTTGACGTGACCCCACACAGCTGGGTGCGCAGCCCACCCCCCACTGCCCGCCCTGGAGCCTGTAAACGGGCGCTGACACGGCGGTACCTGCAGGAGAAACACCCCTTTCTGCCTTGGGGTCCCTCCATAAACCACTGGGGCCCTAAGGACAGAGCCGGGGCAGCATCGCAAGTCCCCATGCCCCAGAAGGCCCATTGATCAGAGATGGAGACGGGCCGGAGAAAAGGACTTGGGGTCACACGTGAGCTCGCGGCTGGCCTCCGGACGACCAGGGCTGGGCTCCTCCCTTCCCCTCAGGCTGGACTGCAACAGACAGCTGCGGCCACAGCTGTGGCAGGACACAAGTCTATTGCCCAGGGGTGTGAGGCAGGGCGGGGAGGGGAGGTTCCTGTGAACAGCAGACCTGAGGGTCAGCATGGTCCTTCCGGAGCCCCTCCCTGCGCCCCCTGGGATTCGCGGATCCAGAACACGGTGACCAAAGAGGGAAATGCTGGATGGGTGAGATTTGGGGACAGCAGCAGGGGTGCCTGGCATTGAGACCCCAGCCGTGAGCAGCACCTGGGGAGACAGGCTGGGCCAGCCTGCCATACCCTCCCCGGCTCTGAGTCTGTATGCGGTGTCCTGTCCCCGGCCACTGTCCCCGCAGGCAGCCAGACGCTCATCGGCCCCACTCGGAGCCCCGAAGGCTCCCCTCACCTGGTTCCCACCAGCCATCCCTCCCTGGCTGAAAAACGGCCCCAAAGGTGTCCACATCATAACCCCCAGAAGCTAGACATGTCACCTCCTGTGGCCGAAGGAACCTCGCAGCTGTGATCAGATGATCCTGAGACGGGAAGTTACCCTGGACTCTCCGGTGGCCCCAAGTAACCACAGGGTCCTCATCAGAGGGAGGCGGGGGCGTGAGAGGAGAGGACGTGGTGACAGAAGCAGCAGGTCGGGTGACTTGCGGGAGGGGCTGGTGCATGCAGGGGCTTCTAGAAGCCGAAAAGCTTTATCTTCCGGCAGCTTTGTGGTCTGACATTTACACTTAGAGACATGACCCAGCTGGACTGACTTTGCACGTCACGAAGGCGAGGTCACGTTTCCCTTTTCCATCTGGACATCTAACTGTCCCCTGAGCCCTTTATTCAGAAGGCGATGCTTCTGTCCATCACCAGCCGAGCTCCCCCACCCGTGGGGGGTCTTCCCCAGACACCCGCCGTCCTGTGCTCTGTCCGCTCTGCAGTCTTCAGGATGTCGCTCGACGACATCCTTCATTGTTTAGTGCGGTGAAACCATCCACGCAGTTTCTCCTGCAAGGGTGCTTAGCCGTTCCCGACTCCGTTTTCCTGCATAGTTCAGAGTAAGTTTATCAAGGTAGTTGGAATGGCACCGACTCCATGGATCCGTCACGAGCGAGGTGACATGTTCCTGATATCTGGGCTTCTCGTACACGAATGTGAGTATTGCCCATTTATCTAAATTTTCATTAACTTCTCCAATAATGTATCGTTTTCTGTGTAGATTTCTTATATTGGATATTATAAATGGTCCCTTTTAAATACTTTTTATTTTCTAACTGTTGCTGATATGCAGACTTTTTTTTTTTTATTTTTCCTGCTTATAACGATGATTTTTTTATACTGGCCTTATCTCCGGCAAACATCCAAATCCCTTATTACTTCTGACCGTGAATCTACAGCTCACCTTGCATTTTCTACGTCCTTAGTCACATCGTCTGTAAGTCATGAGTTTTCTTTCTTTCTTTCCGACCCTAATACCATTCACTTCTCTTTCTGGCTTCACTGCACTGGCTGACGACTCTAGTTCAATGTCACGTAGAAGTAACAAGGACAGACATCTTTAATCGCGTTCCGGATCTCAAAAAGGAAAGCTTTCAATGTTTCACCACTAAATACACCATTTGTTGCAGGTTTTTACCAGCTTAAGAAGGTTCCCTTCTTTCCTAGTTTGCTAGGAGTCTCTATGATGCATGGATACTGAATTTTAACAGAAGCCTTTTCTGCTTCTGCTGAAATGATCGAACGATTTCCTCCTTTGTTCTGGGAATGTAGTGAAATCCATTGATATCGAAATGTCTTACCGACCTGGCGTTACTGGACCAAACCTACTCTGACTCCGGTGCGTTAGC